ATTTGTCACTCAGCACCCTATAATTTTTCCAAAGGTTACTGCCTCTGAGCCATTAGTCCCAGCAACTACAATATATACAGATGGCTCCAAGACGGGGATAGGCGCCTATGTGATCCTAGGCAAGCCCCCGGTTACCATACAATTTAAACCAGATCAGCCTCAGGTGGTGGAACTGCAGATCGTTAAAATGATTCTTGAACGGTTCTCAGAAGCCATTAACATTGTCTCCGATTCTAGGTATGTGGTCAATGCTATGCAAGTGCTTGAGACTGCCAGTTTAATTAGATCCACTTCCACAGTGGCTGGACTGTTCCTGTCTATCCAGACATTGCTTCAGAACAGACACCATAAGGTCTTCACCACCCACATAAGAGCACATACATCCCTGCCAGGGCCTATGGCACAGGGGAATGCGGCTGCTGACACTGCCACTCGCCCGTTATGGATTTTTACCTTACTAACACCAATCGAGCGAGCCCATGCCTTCCATGATAAGTTTCATGTTAATGCCAGGACACTAGCAAACCATTTCCATGTTTCTAGAGCAGATGCACGAGATATCGTGCGATTATGTGACTCCTGTGCCACATACAAACCTGCCATACCGATGGGAGTAAACCCTCGAGGTTTGATCCCTGGTGATGTTTGGCAGATGGACATCACACATATACAGGAGTTTGGGACTCTTAAATATGTTCATGTTTCCACAGACACCTGTTCTCACGTCATATTCGCAACAGCAAAAACAGGTAAAAAAGTGTCTAATGTGATCAATCATTGCCTGGCAGCTTGGGCCGCATGGGGCAAACCAAAAATATTAAAAACTGATAATGGACCAGCCTATATAGGCAAAGCCTTCAATGAGTTCTGCAAAATGATGGAGGTTCAATTAAAACATGATATCCCATACAATCCCCAAGGTCAAAAAATCATTGAGAGGGCTCATAAAAGCCTCAAAAAAATTTTACAAAAACAAAAAGGGGGAGTAGGCCAAGGCCTGGCCCCAAAGGCACGATTATCCATGGCACTATTCACACACAATTTTTTAAATTTAAATAATGATAATCGCTCCCCAGCTGTGGAGCACTGCAACCCTTCCCCCAACCATAAAGGGTGGGTAAAGTGGAAAGATGTCCTGACAGGACAATGGATGGGCCCGGATCCAGTGGTCAGCTGGAACCGAGGCGCGGTTTGTGTTTTCCCACAGGAACCGGGACGAGAACCACTGTGGATACCGGAGAGACTGACACGGGCAACAAAGCCCTCGACTGAAGATCAGACCTGCCCTACTGGAGATCCATCACAGACCGACCAACAAGATGAATAGAAATAGCGGTAGCCCGAAATGGACAAGAAGATCCTCAGGCATATGCATGGCTTGCTCAATTGGCCCACGACCGAGTCTAGATATGGCGGGCATCCCTCATTCTCCTCCATAAGGTGACAATACACAGCAGGGTAGGTGAGTCAATGACGGGTAAGAGCGTGCCTCCCCAGCACGACTCGACCTAAGCCAGGCCCTACCCCATCCTGCACGTAAGCCGCTGGACTGTTAGATGCTGCCCAGGTCTAAATTTCTCTCCGAGGGGATTTCTTTACGGAGAGGAAATGAGTGCAAGCTTGTGTGCATCCAGGTTCCGTCCAGTTTGTGCCTGGCCCTAGAAAAAGGACGAGGGCCTCAGGGCCTTGGCAGACCATGGCATGGCCAACCAGGGTCTAAGCCAAGGACCTACGGTGGGCCTACACATAGGGCATAAGCCTCTGCACCCAGTCCAGGAAGGGCTACGATGCGCACATTCATAAAAAATAAAATAGGGGGAGATGTTGGGAGCCGCGTCTGTGATAGTTCGCCTTGCGCGGCGGACGTGCGGCCTGTGGTAAAGAGCAAAGCCTGAGGTAGATTACCCCTCCCATCGAATATGTTAGTTTCCTGCTTACTGCGTAAACAACCCGCTCAACAATATAGTCTGCCTGGCAACTGATGATGTTAGCCAATCAGCTTGCCTTGCTTACTTTAACATGATTGGACACTGTACCCGTATATATACCGGTGCCACCCCTGGGCGGAAGTAGAAGCCAGGTAGAAGCCCAGAAGTAAAAGCCCAAAAGGAGCCGCGGAGAGCGGACCGGTAGAGGCTTTGGGGCAGACTGAAGCACAAAAGGAGCCGCGGGGAGCGGACCAGAGGAGGCTTCAGCTGGGAGAACCCAGGGCAGGCTGTACGGAGAAGAAAAATAAAAGAAAAGGTTGTCCACTACCAGACTTTGTCGTGTGTCCTTCCTGCCGGCCGGGAGCGGACATCGACAAGATAGCACTCAACTAATGCCTGCTCCCCCATCCCCTCTGTAGGCAGCATCTTTCTACCTTGACTCTGTGTCCACCCCCGCCACACACACACACACACACAAACACACACATGCCCTGACCAGCAGCACTGATTTCTGCTGCTTGGGGTACAGAAGATGAACAGCCAGGCTTCTCATAGCCCTGAGGACTGGCTCCTCACCTATCCTGCGCCTCTGAAGACCCCAGTCTTCTACTCTGCATCCTCCAGCCCCCGCTCTGCTTGCCTCCATGGGCTGCTTCACATCTCAGCCAAACCTACTCAGAGTTTCCTCCATCCTTCCCTTGTGGGCAGGGCACAGACTCTAGATCACTTAGCTGCCCAGCTGGGATCCTGGGAATGATTCCCTCCTATTCTTGCAGCTGATTGGCTCACAGATACACATGTGACCCATGGATGGCCAACCAGATTCCATGTTTTAGAAATTGTTTTTCTCTAAGAGAAAGGAAAAGGGACTCCCATTGGCTGTGGACAGTCAAGTCAGAAAGTTGTAAGACAATACAGACTTTTGGGTCACACAGGAAAGCTGACTGACAGAACCAAGGAACTTCAACAGAAACAGAAAAAGCAACTCTGGAAACTGAGCAAGGGGTGCTCAGTGTCAGTCATGGCTCTTGGTTCAGGGAAAAGAAGACAGGGATGGAAATGTGGGTGTGAACAGGGGTTAAATTGCTTTATGCAGGTAGCAGATCTGGACCTCTGAATGCTGTGGTGCTCTCAAAGCCTTGGCCCAGTAAGAGGAAGAGGAAAAGAAGGGATGTGCTCCCCAGAGGGTCTGCTCTAACAGAGACAAAGGGCCTATGGAAATCAAGGTGGACCTAGGTACTAGCCACCTCTGTGTCCTCACCTGGCTTCACGACAGAAAGAGGCACAAGGCAGCCATCGGTGGGTGAGCTGGCCTCAGTGGGGTTTGAATCGGAAGGGACTTGTGACCATTAATCCTAACATGTCAGCTTCACTGGATTAACAGACACCTAGCAGATTACTAAAGTCTGCTTCTGGGTGTGTCTGGACTAGTCGTGGAAGCATGGCTTTGGGTGTTGAATTTGGTCTTGCCCCGTCCTCTCTAGCACTGTTCCCTGGCTACCATGAACTGAGCAGCTTTCCCCCTCTACACCCTTCCGCCACGATGGCTTTGCCCATGGACTGACACCACTGAGACCGTGAGCCTAATGAAACCTCTCCTCCACCCTTAGACTGCACCAGGAGCTGTGGTTTCTCAGTATCTCCAGGTCCTGTCCTTGTGCCCCATTCCCCAATGATACGGATTCCCAAGGGCACGTCCTCCACCCCTTTGAGACCCTGGCTACCCTCCTGGGTCCTGGCTGCCAGAGATTGTCACTCTCCCTGCTGCTGCCGTCCTCACTGTGGCTTCACTGGCCTCATACGTGGTGTGACATTTATAGCCTTGATCTAGGCTCTGGACCTTAAACCAGACCAGAGACAATAGGAAACAGTTGCCCACACAGAATATCCAGCGAGTAAATTAGGTCTCTGTGTGTGCATGTATGCACACGTGTGGTCGTAAATACCAATGAGCAGAAGGACCCCAGGAGGCCAAGGTTTCCCTGTCTGGGCCTGAGTCCTGACCAGCACACACATGGGGACACTATTTCTCCGCAACCACCCAGGAATTCATAGATTGTGACATTTCGAGGATTTTAATTAAAGAAATAACGAGGGCTAGGTATCAGGATTTTGCCACAGTGGCATTTATTGTAGTGTGGTTTATGGAACAGTGAGAAGCTGAAATTTCCCTGAGTCATTGATTGCTATTGGGTTTCCCTTTTCCTTACTGAGCCTATTTACTACGGACACAAACAGACTTGGCTTTATTTTTATGGTGTGAGGATTGAACCCAAGGCCTTGCACACACTGGGCAAGTGCTCTACCACTGAGCTACATCCTTAGCCTCAGATATGACTTTAATTAATAAATTAATTTATCTGTTTGAGACAGGGTCTCATTCTGTGGTTCAGGCTGGGCTTGGGCTCACTTTTTGGCCCAGGCTGGTCTCAAACTTTCAGGGATCTACCTGCCTCAGACTTCCAAGTGCTGGGATTATAGGAGTTGGCCACCACACCTGGCTCGGATCTGAGTTTTAAAAAACACATTTTCTGGCTAGTCTTGCAGGTGGTCCTGTGATCTGGTTTTAACCAATGAAATTAAGCAATGAAGATTGGGTGGACTTTAAGAAAGCTTCTTAAAAGAAGGGCAGGTGTGGCTGGCATATATCCTTTGCCCCTTGCCTCTCTCCTTCCTTCCACCTGAATTGTGATGGCTGGAACTGTGGTAGTCATCTTCTAAGGTGGTGGAATAGAAAGCTAACAGCATGAAGGAGTTTCAAACTTCTTTTTTGGGGGGGAGGGTAACCAAGAATCAAACTCACAACAAATGCTGAGCTGCTAAGCTATATCTATCCCTGACCCCAGGCTTCTTTCACACAAGAACCAAACAGACTTCTATTGTGTTAAGCTGAGCTATTTGGTTTTTGTTAGAAGCTGCTAACTTCAGTCCCCAAGGACACAATTTCAAAATATCCAACAATAGTAACCTGGAGAGGTGTTTGTGATGAGCTGACAAGACAGAACATGTATAAGATTTGTTCCACATCTTCATGCAAATGGCCCTTCCTCCTCGCTTGCCACTGGCTCTTACCTTGGCTGCTGGGTCCTTGTGGTTGTTTGTACTGGTGTTCTACGCAGAGGTGATTGAGTTTCGGTCTCATTTACGAATTTTCCATTTTTGCATGAATCTGTGGCAATTAAGAAGTGGAGCAAGTTAGAAAATATGCACCTCCCCCTTTTTAGCCAGTTCCTCTATGACCAGGATGGCGGTGACAGTCACAAGGAGAGGAAGGAAGTGGGATGAGGAGGATGCCATGCTGTCTCTATAGAAACTGTAACCATGACACGGAGCTTCACTGATGTGCACAAATACACCTAGCCCGTGCCAAATGAGAATGCTGACCTGTGCGCATGTGGTGTGGGTGAATGCCTAAATATTAAAGAAATGATTGTGGTAATAGACACAGTGCCATGAATCTCCCTCAAGGTATTCCCCCTGGCTTCAGAGACGCTGATCCCATCATCCTTGCCACTTCCTGCAGCAGCTCTGGAAGTGCCCTTTCCTCTGTGTCTTCAGTTGCGCTGTTGTGACTGCCTCAATGTCCTGAATCCATGCAGACTGTTTACTTTTCACCATCATTTTGGCTTTAGGGCAGAGCCGGGTGTCCCATGATGCCGGATCCCGTGAACAAGGCATGAAGACACATCGTGACGTTTTTACGAATTGCCTTTCTGCTGGATGGCGCTCAGCAGCAGGGTACACTTGATATTTGACCACATCTCATAAAGACGCTCAGGAAAGAGGACTCCAGAACCACTGCAGAACGTGGCAAGGACATGGGACAGATGTGTTCAAAACAATGGGAGTTTTTTAGGGGGATGAATGGCAATGTGTCTTTTGCTATCATGTTTTGAGACTTCAGTGTTTAGTATATACTTGGATGGCCCCTTTAAACCTGATTACTGACAGCACAACAAAAAATGACCTGATTGGTGTCTTGGAGGACAATAAAGCCTGTGGTGTTAACATTTTGACTGGACAGAAATGATTTGCAACTTGTTGGTCTTTTCACAACAAACTCTGCCCTGAGTCCTAATCAATACCAATAAGTCAAGTCACCTTCCCCTCTGACAGCAGTGATGAAGCATTTGGAGCTGTCAGTGACACACACAGCCCGCTGCAGAGTGTGTGTAGCCATAGGTTCACCACCACTGCCCTGGACTGTCACATTGTCCCTGGGCAATGGTTTAGGTAAAAACAGCCAGCTTAGGGTGCTATGGCCAGAGGGGGCAATGGATTAGAAAAGGCAGTTTTTCCTCACCCCTAGAGGATGTATATTTCCAGCATGAAATGGAAAAGACCCTTTCCCCCACATCCAAATCCCACCTAGAGGGCTCCCCTCCCCCAGCATGAGCCCTATTTCTTCTCGAGGGAGTGGGTGGGAGAGGCATGATGGCCCCAGGGCCTCTGTCTTCTGCAGGGTAGAGCAGCACACTCTCCCTAGGGTGGGGGCTTGACCCCCGGAGGAGGAAGGAGTACTCTCTGTGACAGCAGAGCCCTGAACTGAGGAAGGGACTGGCGGGCTTGGTGGCGTGGGGAGACCCTGCACCTAGGCTCTGGGGTCTTTGTCGTTCCCCACTCAGCCCACACTGTAGACAGACCCACACCAGCGTTTGTGACCTGTCTTGTACAATAGGAGGGTTGTAGGCTCCTGTGACTGAGGAAGTGCCTTTTCTATTTTCTTCAATTTAACTTAAATTTAATTTTTTTCCCCCATGTGGGAGGGATGAGACCCAGGCCTTCCCACATCCTGGGGGAGCATCTCCACTGAGCTATACCTTCAGCCCCTTCCATTTAAATTTAAATGTAAACACTGATTCTTGACTCCGTGATTGGAAGGATCCTAAGGGCGTTTGGATCACTTTGAGTATGTAAATCTTTCCTGACTGTGCATTTTATGAGCTCTAAATCCAGATCGAGTGTTTCCAGTGACAATGCGGCGTGCCAACTGGGCAGGCCTACAATACAACATGCGCCACAGATTTCAGACTCAGTGTAAACAAAGGACATAAAACAGTTCACTGATAATTTTTAGATTGAAAGTTACACACTACAAACATCTTATGTTGGCTATCATGGGTTCCATAAATGGATTGTTAAGATTAAATTCTCCCATTTCTTTGTACTTTTTTTCTTTTGTTTTTTTGAGGCAGGGTCTCACTGTGCAGTCCAGGCTGGCCTCCACCAGCCTGGATCCTCCTGTCTCAGCTTCTGAGTGCTGAAATCATAGGTGTGCACTGTTGTGTTCCAATTACCCGCTTGTGATTTTCTAATATGGCCCCTGGGATGTTAAATGTGTGCTGCGGGCACTGTCACCGCTTAGAACTCCAAGGCAGCTTTCGTGGGAGCCCCAAAAGGTCCCCTTCCTCGCCTTTCCCGCCCTGACAGCCGGCTTGCAGGGCGGACACCGTTCTGAAATTGCGGCTCCCAGAGGGCGAGATTCTGACTTTGTGTGCACACAGGCGCCCTCTTATCTCCCCACTGTGCACGACTTGGCTTTCCTTGGTTCTAGATCCAGGGCTCTGTTAGGGGACAGCACAGCGGTCACAAATCCTGCTGCTGCCCAGCTCCGGCCTCCTCATCTGGGCTGGCCCTGGGTGCTGCTCTGACCCACTCCCATGGCAGGGAATGGCCATGAAATCCTGAGTCCCAGCCTCGCCAGGCCTGGGGCCAGGACACCACAGAGCAAGACTGCCCCCGGCCTCCCACTCCAGCAGGCCACCGGTCCTCCAAGGAGGTCAGACGACCTGGCCGGACACAGCAGCCACCGGCGAGTCCCAAGGTCAGCAGTGAGAACAGGACTCTGCTGAAAGCCTCTGTGTTTTGAGGGAACCTGAACTCTCAGTAAAGGCTATGCCATGTGAGGGTTAGTAACTGTTTCCTGATGGGTTAAGGCGGCAGCAGTCGATGCCTGCAGCACACCACGGGCAACACACACCCTGGTGGCCACTGCTGCCCCCAAGACCCAGGAAACAGACTCACCCTGCAACCCCAGCTGGCTGCCCACTCAGCCCCATGGGAAGCCATGGGAAAAGGGTCTGCAGCTCCGCTGCACCCCACTGCTAAAGGTTTCTGAACTTTATTCTACTCAGAAAATACATGTGGGCAAGTGTAACTTTGTGGCATTGAACCCAGGTATTCTACCACCAAACTGCATTCCCAGCTCTTTTACTTTTTATTTATATTTTAAATTTCAGGACCAGGTCTTATTCAGCTGCCCAGGTTGGCCTTGAACTTGCAACCCTTCTGCCTCAGTTTCCTAAGTAGCTGTGGTTGTAGGCAGGCACCATGCCTGACTCTACAGGTATCTTTTGAGCTGATAACAAGTACTAGAAGCTGGTCTAGGAGATTAAGGGGTCCCAGTGTGAAGATATCCCAAGATTTTAATCATACTTATTTTCAAGACAGCCAAAGCTCTGTACTCATGGTGATAGAGAAAGGGTAGGACGGGACTCCATAGCCCTGTGTGACCGCAAGCCTGGCCAGCTCTGCATCCGACCCCATGCACGTGCGGCCGGGGGAGGCACGCCGTATCTTTCTAAACAAAGCCACCTTACTGTACAACCTGAGAGTAGCCACATTCAATGGGGATGTGTGAATTCCTGAGAAAATGGCTCCAAACTGGCCTGCCCTGTGGGACTCATGACTGATCCCTGTCAAAGCCATTTATCCTTTCTTGGAGCAGGAACCTCTCAGCCCTAATAACTCCACCTGGATGTGAAGGCCCAGCTGTGCCTGCTGTCCCCGGGGCTGACCTGCCGGGCGGGTGGCTGTCTGCTCTGAGTCGCCTCTGGCCTTGGCTCGACTTCTGTGTCTCACGGCGCGATTGAAGATTGAATTTCTCTGGATCCGGATGTAGCTGGGGCCTTCTTTGTCGTGGACATACTGCTCATCACAGGGAGTCGCCTCGCTTTCTGAGAGTGACTCAGGTCTTGCTGTGACCAGCTCAGCATCCGTTTTCCATGAGCCACTCACTGATTTTCTCTGGGGCTTTGCCAAATCTTCAGATTCTTTGGTCTCCATGGAAATAGACCTAAGTGTTTCCCAGCAGAAAGGCGTGAGGGCAGTAACCTCCTGCGCTCCACGGGATTGGAGGGCTTTAGAATAGAAAGAACAATTTTCAGTTAGACTTACCGGGCTAAATACTTCCATTCAGAGTGCGAAATTGCACCCCCATTTGGATTTGATGAAATTTGGGATAATCTGCACATCCGGCAGACCACATCTTTTGTCAATGAAAATTACAGCTTAACCACTGTAATTTAGGCGCATTCGTGTATCATTTTAGAATTGAGGAGTGTTGATACTACGCACAGAATGCACTTTGGGGGAAATGTGGAAAAGGCTCTGCAACTAACTTTGCAGGGAGCTGTTCTTGAATAATTCTAGAGAAAGAGTGGCAGAGACAGTGAGAGAAATCACAAAAGCAACACGTATAGGAAGACGCAGGGGGAGAAAAGGGGCAGGGCCAGTGACCACTATCAGGACAAGTGTACGTGAACCCACAGGGATGAATGTCTTGCTGTCAGCTGGTGGCCAAGTCTAACTGGGTTGGGAATCTTTTCGATAGAGCCATGTGTAATATTGGGGGTCAGCAAAGCCCCAGCACACAGCTGTCTTCTTGGGATAGAATCACAGATTGGTTACCTCCTTCTGGGTGACTCCTAGCACACCATCCATGTGGGGACACTTGTCCCCACATGGGGACAGGAGAAGGGGTGCCATGGGAGAAGCCCATGGCAAAACCATCTCACTCCCACCGTGGACCTCCTTCCAGGGTGGACCCTTGGGGTGAGTTGGAAGCTTGGGGATAGGGTGCCAGACAGAAGCCAGATAGAGATTCTGTGGCTTCCGTTCACCTAAGGGGTTGGGAGCTAGGGGCCCACTGAGTCTGTGGAAGTCCCAGGGGTACAGAGCGGCACACAAAAGCTGTGTGTATTGGAACACCATGATTTCTGAGAGACAGCTGACACCTCTACTGTGTTCAAGGGGATCAGAAACGTAGGGACTCTGGAGAAGCAGCTCTTCTGAAAAGGGGGAGCCAAAGGCTGCCCTGGAGGGAACTGTCCCTTCTCACTGCACCCCACTTCTTCCCCAGCCTCTCTTCTTCCAGCCCGGCCCTGTCCAGCCTGAGGTGAGTAGGTGAGGTAGCAGGTGAGTTAGGTTCATCGGGAGAGCGGGGTTCCCCACACAAGACAGAAGATGTCTTTTTCCATCCAAGGCAGGAATTGGGGACCTCTGGGCAGGGGGATGGGAGGACCACCTCCTGTTCTGGCTGTCCCTTACTGACCTTGCCCTGCAGAATCAGCTGGGCTCAAGTGAGCAGCCCTGATGGACAGTAGAGGCATGCCAAGAGGGGCGCTGCCGACTGTGGGGTGGGGGTAGTGCTCTGGTTTCTGTGCAATCGAGGTGCTTTGGGATGTATGCCTTTGTTTTATGTTCCTCCACATTCCTTGCTCTCTAAAAGCAGGATTTGGACCATCTAGTTCGTGGTTACCCCTGACACCTGTACCCTGCAAACCTCTGTTGTTTTCAGCAGGTGAGTGAATGGATGGAAGACCTTAGTGAAGGCCCACAATCCCTGTGTGAAGTTCACAAGCAACTGAGCCTCACTTTTCAGACTACAAGCTGCAGCCTGAGAGAGAGTGTTCCATAGGTGCCTGCCAGGGAACGGTGGACCCAGGGTCACAGTCATCTGTCTGACTCATCCATGGAGGATGTGGTCCAAAGACACCCGTCCAGCTGCTGGCTGCAGACGGGGTGGTGAATCAGAGACAGGAGTGGCCTTCTCTTCAGGGCCTGGGTGATAAAGATGTGGCTTGGACAAGAACCAAGGGGGATGCTCAGGTCTTCAGTTGGGGCTGAACACCACCTAGGGAGCCTGTGGCTTGGAGATTGGGACACATAAGGAGAGGCAGTAGAAGGAGCCTGTGTGTTGACCCCAAAGCCAGCTGCTGCTCGCACCCAGCACAGTGGGCGGGCAGGCAGGGCTCCTGGACAATGCTTCCCAGACTTCCAAGAGGCCTGAGGCTCTTCCAGAAACCCAGCTCTGATTCAGGAGCTCCGGGTAGAGCAGAAACTGCACTTCTGACAAGCCCTTGGAGGACTCTGCTCTGCCAGCCGCAGGCCACCAGGTGGGAACAGAGAGCATAGGACTGCAAGGGTGACTCCAAGCAGCAGGAAGGTCTCGGAGGTGCCCAGCTGCTGGCAGCACTTTAAGGTGGCTCATCCTCAGCAGGTGAAAGGTAGGGGCTGTCTTGGACTGTGAACCATGAAGTCTTTTCATTCCCTCCTGGATCAAAGAGGGGAGGTGGGAGCCAGTCAGGAGGACTTTAGGCAGGAGGAGAAAAACCAATGAGGTGTCTGGGCTGCGGAAAAGCCATTGAGGCCCCTCTGTGGGACCCTCAGAGGGGATGGAACTGGCTGGGTGACCTCAGGAGGGCAGAGCAGTCCCCGTCCCTGGAGGAGGACACCAGTTCTGTATTCTGAGCATGGGTCAAAGTGGGGGCAGTGATGAGAGACCCACTGGGAGGAGAGGAGGATCCTAGGAACAGGGAAGGCAGAATCTCAGAAATTGGGGAGCAAATGGGGGATAGCAGGCACTGAGGGGGCCGTGGGGTGAGGTTGGCTGGCTCCTCACAGCAGGAGAGGCCCTCTGTGTCCCCGCCACCCTGGGGCAGTGTGGGACTTGGGAGACAGAGGGGAGGGTCTCTGAGCTGTGACAGAAGGAAGATGGGGATTCCAGGCCCAGCCTCAGGCCCAGTGTGGAGGTGGCTCACCTGGTGCCCAGGAGGACACGGAGTGGGAGGTGGTGGCCAGAAGGTTCGAGCAGCCAGGGTGACAAAGCTGCAGACACTGGACTTGGCTGGCTCTCCGGCCAGGCGAGAGAAGTGGAAAGAGGAGCCTGGCTTTCTTGAAGGCTGCTGGACTAGAGCCCTGGGAAAGGACGCAGGCGTCTGGGACCAACTCTGCCTTGGAGGAGAGCGGGTGTGGGTGTTGGGAAGCTGGCCTGGAAATGCTCCCTGGTGCCAGGGTCCAGCCTAGGCTGGCAGTTACTGGAAGTTTGACCTTGAAGGTTAAATATTAACTGCCGCAATAAGGCACTGAGCACCAACTGTCCCTGAACAAGAATATTAAGGTTTACACCTAGACTTGCACCAAGAATCTCACGTGACCATAGGCGGTGCTTTTGGAAGGTGACAGGGTGAAGGCTATTCAGAGCTGCCTGGTTGTGAGGAGGCGGGGCTTGAGGGGGAGGTGATTGCTGGGGGTGTGACTTGGTTGTGGGTGTGGCCTGTTGGAGGAGATCTCTGGGGGCATGGCTCGATGTTTGAGGGCGTGGTCTGATGGAGAAGGTTGCTGGGTGTGGCATAATGGTTGTGGGCGTGGTCTGTAGGAGGTCTCTGGGGGCGTGGCCTGGGCTCTCTTCCTCCTGGCTCCTCCCTGCACTGTCTCCTGTCTCCCAGGTCGCCAGCAGCTGTCCACGCCAGGCCCTGTGCCTTTCTGTCTTGTCTTGGAGCCAGCTGACTACCACCAAACTGACTGAAACACCAACTTAGCAGTCATCATTCCCTGCCTCCCTTCCTCCCTTTCCAGGAACCCAGGATGGAACCCAGGGTCTGGTGACTGCTGGGCCAACGCTTTCCCACTGAGTACTGTGGCCCCAGTCACAGCCTCCAATCCAAACACCCCGCAGAGGAGATCACCAGTGAGGTCCAGAACCTTCTCAAGATGCCCCTCCCACCACGTTACTGTCCCTGTCACCCTGGAAGTCTGTGGGTCGGCTTCCTGTGTGGGAAGGCTGAGGATCGAGTGACAGAAGTCACTGAGGGACCCTGGCCTGGGAACTGGATGTGGTCCAGAGACTGAATGAGCTCCTGGCTCACACCAAGAAGTCTAGACACGTGGAAGCAAGAGGGATACAGCCATGTAACCTGTACCACCAAGCAGGAGCTGACAAGCCCCAGAACCAGAGCTGAAGGAACAAATGAGATGTCTCCATGGGCTGGTGTGGGGCAGGACAGGGCAATCAAGATAATGGAACTTTAGGAAAATAAAATGTTTGCCAAACATAATGAGTGGCACACATGTATAGTCCCAGCTACTTGGGAGGCTGAGACAGGAAGATCACTTAACTTTAGGATTTAAGACCAGCCTGAGTATCACCCAGTCTCAAAAAGGAAATAAAGTTATAACTTTACATTTACAGAACAACTGCAGGTGCTGACATTTTAAAAACAGCTCTTCAAGGAACCAAAGGGCAGCGAGCATGAGATTAGGAAGCTAAGACTTGGAGGGTATGTACTTGCACGTGGTTGCAGGAATGAAAAACAGACAATGAGGAATCAGGGAATGGAACAGAAGAGAGAGGATCGGAGGCAAGAAGGTTCCCAGGACCTACCAGCCACTTTCCCCATTCTTGGAGGGGCCTTGGTTTGCCAGGGCCACAGAGTTTAAGTAACTAGGTCTGTGCTGGGCCTGGTGGCACACTCCTGTAATCCCAGCATTTGGGAGGCTGGGGCAGGAGGATTATTGCAAGTTGGAGACCAGCCTGGGCTACAAAGTGAGCTCAAGATCAGCATGAACTGCATAGCGAGATCCTGCCTCAAAAAGACAAAAAGTAAATAAATAAATAAAATAAAAAATAACAAGGACTAGAACAGGGATAGTCAGCCTTTGGTGGCTGTAACAAATTGCCTGAGGTAATCAGATTAGAGAAAGAGAAGGTTCACTTTGGCTCATAGATTTGGCCCGTGATTGGGCAGAGACAGTGCTTTCGTGTTTCTGGAGTGTGCAGAGGTATACCTGTTGGCACAACCTTCCATCTTCTGGCTAGGAAGGGAAAGAGAAAAGGAAGGTGAGTCAGGGCCCTACAGCCCACCTTCAAGGGTAGCGCCCCATAGCCTTGACACACTGACTACCCTTGGATGCAAGCTCTAATGAGAGTTCCCCAGCCTGAGACCTGTCCCATGCTTTCCGCTTTCTTCTCCTGCTGCCAGGGGCAGGGACGCTCAGGATTTGTCTCATATCCAAAGTCCAAGGCAAATCTTGGGTGAGACAGAAGCTCAAATTAATCCCACTCCAACATCCCACTAAAACCCAGTGCAATCAGGAAGACAGCTACCTCCATATGGGAGCTAACATCAGAACTCCAGTTTATAGCAGGACCAGCAGGCTCTTCTGCTAAGTAAGCCAAGAGATGAGAGTTAAGGGAAGACCCAGATAAAAGGAAACTTTTATACATGGTGGGTGGGGTGTGGATTTGTGGGGCCATTATTGAAAACATCAAGAGTTTCTGTAAAACTAAACATAGAATCACAACAGGATCCAGGGAAACACTGCTTCTCTGCCATCACAGGCCCAGAAGCAATGAATAGGCCTGAACCCTCTGAAACCATGAGCCAAAGTAAGACCTTCCCTCTTTGTAAGTTGATCATCTTGAGTATTAGTTCTTCTAGCACCAAGACGCTGTCTAACATGTCCATTTTGGAACCTGAAATCAGTGTAGGGAAGAGATACCTGCACTCTCTATTCATTGCAGTCTGACTCACAAGAGTTAAGATAGAGGATCATCAATCTGTGTCCATCAAAGAATGAAAGGATAAAGATGATAATAAGAAAGCCCAGGTGTGGTGGCACGTGCCTCTGGGAGCACTCTGGGAGGCTGAGGTAGAAGGATCAAAAGTTTGAGTCCAGCCTGGTCAGCTCAGTCACTTGGTGAGACTGTCTCAAAATTTAAAACTATGTAAAATGAGCTGAGGATTAGCTCAGTGCAAAGACCTCATGTTCAATTCCCAGTAGTGGAAAAAAAAAAAGAGTGGTAATATGTACAGAGGGATATTATTTAACTCCAAGAGGGAAAATGTGTCATTTGCAATAATATAAACAAGCCTAGAGGACATCCTGCTAAATGAATTAGCTACACACAGGAACACAAATGCAACTTACTCCTAAGGGGAATCTAAATAAGTCAAATTCTGAGGTGGAGAGCAGAACAATGGCTGCCAGAGGCCAGGGTGGAGAATGGGGAGCCATTGGTCAGGGGCACAAATTTCCCATTATTATATGAATGGGTTCAAGCTGGGGTAGTAGTGCATGCTTAGAAGTCCAGCACTCAGGAGGCTGAGGCAGGAGGATCACTGTGAGTTTGGGGCCAGTCTGGGCTACCTAGTAAGTTCAAGGCCAGCCTGAATTGCATAGCAAGAGCCTGTCTCAAACAAAGAGATAGATAAACAAAAACATTAAGAGAAGAAATATCACACATATAAAAAATAGAAAGGTTACAAAACCAGACAAACACATCACAAAACTATAGATGTTTAGGAAAAATGTCTTCAACTACCCATCTGGCTCAGACCTTTCACTCATAAAGTGGCCCGTTGTCTTGCTTCCTGTACACTGAGACCAAAATGGAACCTCCTGGAGAGCCACAAATTCCACAGATTTCCACCATCAAAACACATATTTTTAACTCTGAATTGTAGCATGCTTCTGGCTCAAGCACTGCACTCTGTTTCTCTGAGTGTGTAAACCCCTTTATCCCTCTTGAGGAAAACTGTAGGTCAATATTTCTTGTTCATATAGGTGAACATGACCTCAACAAAATACTAGCAAAGCTGAACCCAGCAAAATATAAAAAGAATCACACAACATGACCAAGTCAGTTATTTTTTGGGGGGTGGTACCAGGAATCGAATTCATGGCCTTGTGCTTACCAGACAGGCACTTACACCACTGAGCTAAACTCTCAGCCAACCAAGTTGAATTTATCCCAGGATCACACAGGTGTTTAACGTGCAAAACCAATTATTGCGATATACTAGCTGAATGGAATACACATCAAAAGGTACATGACATCTCAATGGACAAGTGGCATGGCAAAGAGAATTTGACAAAACTTAGTACTCTAGGGAAAAAAGAAAACTTTCTCAACACGATTAAGGGCACTTTCAGGCTTCACAGCTAATACTGCACTTAGTTGTAAAAGACTACCTGATTGCTCCTAAGATAGCGAAGAAGGAAAGTGAGGATATCCACCCTCACTGCTGTGTTAAAAACTGTAATGGAACCAGGTATGGCGGTACACACCTGTAATCCCAGCACTTGGGAGGCTGAGGCAGGAGGATCACTGTGAATTGGAGACCAACCTGGGCTACACAGTGAATTCGAAGTCAACCTGAACTGCATAGTGAGACCCTGACTCAAAACAAAACAAAACACAATCAAAATTGTAATACAGCTTCTAGCCAAGGAAATTAGTCAAGGGGAAAAAAATTCAGATAGGAACAGAAAGATTAAACTAGCTTCATTCACAGGTAATATGACTTTGTATGTAAAAAATCCTTAGGAATCCAGCAAAACAAAAATTATTTGGAATTAATAAACAAGTTCAGCAAAGTTGCAGGATTAAGGTCAGTGTACAAGAATTGATTGTGTATTTACACAGCAGGAAGAAACAAACCACACACAAAAAAACTGAGATATGAATTCAATTTAAAATGTTATCGAGCCGGGGATTTAGCTCAGTAGCATAAGTGCCTGCCTTGCAAGTGCGTGGTCGTGAGTTTGATCCCCGGTACCACAAAAAAAAAAAAAAAAAAAAAAAAAAAAAAAAAAAAATCAAAAATAAAACACCTAGGAAATAATTTAATAAAAAATGTGAAATTTAAGTTCTACACACCATAGAATATTATTGAAACTATATAAGAACTAAAAATAGAAATACATACCATTTCCATGCCTCCAAAGAATTAAGATGACAATATAGCTAACACTGATCCGAATAATTAAAATAACCTGATTAAACCCAAGAGGACTTCTTGGCATAAATTAATAAGCTGAACATAAAACTTATCAGAAATTCAAAGGACTCAGGCTAAAAACATCTCAGAAAAGGGAAAACACTTTCTGATTTCAAAAGCTACTATAAAGCAACAGGAATTAAGACAGAGTGGTACTGGCACAATGATAGACAAATAAATTGGTGGAATCTGATTGAAAATCCATAAATAAACTCACACATCTATGATAAAATGAGCTTAGACAAAGCACCAAGAAGTTCATAGGAAAAGAACAGTTATCAACATACGTTGCCATGTGTCAATAGGATAAATTTGGATCCCTGCCTCACACTGCATACAAAAATTAACTCAGAATAGATCAAAGTCTTAACTGTGAGAATAAAAATTTTAAAAACTTTTACGAGAAATCAGGCATAAATCTTCTGGATATTGGATTATACAATAGTTTCCTAGAAAAGATACTAAACATAAGCAACAAAATAAAATTTGGTTGTCATCATCAAGAGAAAAACTTTTTGTGTTCTACAGAACACCATCAGGACAGTTCTCATGAACAGGAGAAAAATTCTGCAAACCATGTGTCTGATGAAGGGCATGTATCCAGAACGTAAATAGCTCATACAAGTCAGTCATAAAAGCAACAAAATTGATTTGGTGATGATTACGCCAAATATCTGAAAAGCCATTAATTTGACCCTCTCAATGAGTGAAATTTATGAGATGTGAATTACATCTCAATAAAGTTGCTATTTAAAAAAGGAAGTTGTCAGTAACAGTTTGGAACGATAGTTCACAGCTGGGAAAAATATGTCTAGATCCTCAAAATAAATTCCCCAATAAACTCCAAAGGCATCAAAGCATTAAATATTTTTTTTCAAACCATAAAACATTCTGAGCAAGACATCAGGCTGCCATGTCTCCAATGTCTGGGGTGCATGCAGTGGGTGAGCATGGTGGGCCGTGAAGCCGGCCCAGTAAGGCTTTCATCTCTGCTAGCTCCCTGGCTGGTGGCGTGAGCTGGGATGGTGCTTTCCCATAGGGCCTCCTGCTTCTCCAGTGCTAGATGGCAAGGATCCTAGATTCTAGGATTAATCAGGCTTCTGCCTGATGTGAGAGAGACTTTAGAGGATGCAGAGAGAGAGGTGACAGTCTTGCAGTCGAGATCCTATGTGAACATCCAGACTTGTCCTGTGGATGCCACTGGTTAACCACCACTGTTCATAGCAAAGGGAGATGAGGACATAGGAACCTTTAGCAGGACCAAGAAAGAACAG